TGTAGAAATTACACACTGAAGTGTTTTGTTCTTTCCTGTAATTTGTTTGCCACATTGGCTATAGTGATTCCTCTGTCGTATATGAAGACAGGAGAAGAGATCGGATACTAAGATGACAGTCTGGGAAACTAGCCTATAGCGATATATATATTTTTTGTGTGTCATTGTGTGCCTTATTGGTCTCACCATTAAACTTCCTCCGTAATGGTGGTATGTTCCATAAATTACCAAGAGCTATTTTCTATTTGTGAATCTTAAATTACACACACAAGCTGTTTTGGTACACTCATTGAATTTAATGTCAAAACAAAATTATATGGTTGGTAAAGGACAGCTGAACCAAATAACCACTGCAGTCCTCTGGATAATAATAGGTTACTAAACGAGTACTACAGTAGTCTCTTCAGTGTATTGCTTTATACAGTTGTGCTAAGTTAAAGTTCCCAACTCTTACCTTTTATAAATTTCTTCTTTTCCGTTTCTTGATACCTATAGTATTCGTAAACCTGTTCAGAAATAAGTATGAAATATTGCAATGTGACGTGTGCAGTCTTGGGCCATGTAATCAAGAGTGTGTTTGTAAATGAAATATATCAGTGTTAATGATCACTGTTTTACCCAACTCTCTTTGGCATTCCAGCAAATTGAAAGTGAGGGTAAAAGATGATGATTAAAAAAATACTTTGTAAGACAGAAAACTTTCTTTATTCCATCTATGGAACTTACAGTATAATGCAAAAAGTCAAGGTACAATAAAATAAAAATGGGATGGCATCTCTCCCTATCTCCCTTCCAAACTTCTCTGAACACTTTCAGATTTGTTTCAAATACACCATAGTGGAGAGGATCCTTGTAATAGTAGGAAGCAAAGAAACTGTTTCGTACCTTTTCATTCCCAAAGTCAAAACAGACAGGTTGAGCTTACTTTCTAGTTATTATCTGGGGCTGCCACATAGCAGAAACAGTTTTGAAAGAAACTGCTCAACTATACTAGATTAAATATAAGATCTGCTTGGTTCAGTCTGTTCCCATTATGTATGTCTGTTGTTCGGGCTGACTTTTTTGTGTCTGTGTCCAAAAATAAGCTTATATTAAGTTAGGGCTATTTTTTAACAAATTAGAAGTTGTCTTGGAAGAAGAAACACAATAGTAAAATTCTCATTGGTGTCTTAAGTAAAGTCTGTTCTCAGAAAACAAAACTCTGTAATGCTTTAGCAAAACATATGAATATTGTATGTGAAAGATCATTTGAAAGTGCTGTGTTAATTAATTCTGTGTTTTTATCATCAAAGTCATTAAAAGAGCTTGATCCGCTTCAGATGAGTGGACTTTGAGAATACCCAATAAAGAGTGACATTTAAGTCTTTAGAATGAGAACCAGATATATAGCAGTGGTAGTATTTCATGTCTTTCCAGTCAGGTACAAATCATGCAAGTAGTCTGGAAGGAAAAAAAAAAGATACCTTAATTTTTTTTAAATCTCTTTAAATCTCAGACTACTCCTAAAGTTTCTCAAAACAGGTGAAAAAAATTGCTTTTGCTTAGGCAGAGTTTGTTACTTTAGGCTTTTCTGCCTTTGTCTCTTTTCCGTGCAAATTTAAGATTTAAAGGTATTCTAGGGTTATGATGGGTAGGTTTTGGGGCATGTAAGGAGAAGGTCATTCTAGAAACTGTGAAGCTGGTGCTGATGGTTGAATTATCCAATTCTTAAAAATGTTTGAAAGATTAGAATACAGCTTACTGTCTGTTTAATTAAGACTAATGGTCTATTATTATGAGCTCTACAGTAAATAGTGACAATGTTGAGGCTTAGTTCTTCTCAGGAACATGTTTTTAGGGACTTTTGCTCAGACCATATGTCAGTAAGATTTGATTATACTGTTACATATAAGTTCCTTTTTTTTTTTTGTCTTCTATGATAAATGTGACATATCCATTGGAAATTATAAAAGGGTTAAAAAGCTATTGTTGCTACTGAAAGTAGACTTGAAGATCTGTTAGTTCGTGCTTCTAGTGACTGGAGGTCTGCAAAATATAATCTCTTTTCCTGCCACAAAGTTAGTCAGCATTGCCTTTTGTTTAAGTGACAGAGGTAAGTAGCTTTTCTCTCTTAGATGGAAGGTTTTCTGTTCCAGTACTCATCTAGATAGCTGATAACCATATCTACTTACCTGTGTGGTCCTGGGCTCCCTGTGCCGCACTGCAGAGTTGGCAGAATCCAGACGAGGAGCAAATAAGGGAGCTGAGTCTGCAACTGTATAGATCACCTGCCATTATGATTGGGGGCGGGGGGAGGAATGCAGTAGTGATTCCTTGTGCAGGTCTGCAAATCTGGAGAAAGGATCCATTCCCTTCTTCTGACCCTTCTTGGAGATCTCCAGTACAGGCTCAGAGTGTGTGTGATGTTATTGATTTATATTTATTTATTTATTTATATTATATGTTATTTAATTATATATAAATAACATCACTCTCTCTCCCTCTCCCTCTCCCTACTGGAGATTTCCACAAAGGATCAGAAGAAGGGGATGGATCCTTTCTCCAGAGTTTCAGGCCTGCACCGGGATCACTACTGCATCCTCAGCCGCACCACTCCTCCCCCCTCCCATAGGTTGCGTGTGTATATGTATACATATATATAATGCCAGCTCAGGTTTTATTGTTCATTTTTTTTCTCACTTGGACCATCTGGATTTTTTGACGTAGCTATGTTTGTTCCTTGAAGAAGAAACACCTTTTCAAGTGCTCTCCCATGTTCCTCTCCCCTCCTCCCCCCCAAACACACACACACTGTGCTAATATTTGTTTTACAGGTTTAGTTTATTGCAGGAGGGGTAAAATCTTACTAAGCTGACCCCAAAGATTAGAGATCTCAAATTTACTTTTAGCAAGAATGTGCCAATAAAGATTTCTTGTATTAATCTATTGAGGAGAAAACTGAATAAAACAAAAACCTTGCATTTACCCTCTGTGTAACTCATAACAAAAGGGAATTTCCTTAACCAAGGGCTGTAATGCTGAGAGACCTCAGCAGACCAGCCAAGGCAAACTTCCTTTTTTTTTTTGGTTTAGTATTCTTAGCGTGTCAACAGATGACATCTAAAGCAACGTTTGGTGTCTTCCAATTAAGAGTATTTTTGAAGTATAAGATGCACTCAGATACTCTGCTGAGTGCTAACATAAGAGTCCAGACGTAAGATTGATTTGAGAAATAAAGGGAGTGTTTTCTAGTGTGGAATAACTAAACATTCTACTTGTAAAGAACCAATAGACTTTTTGTTATAGACCATTTTCTTAGATGTTCCTTTAAAATAGAATATATGCATGTTGTGGAGGAAATTGTTGATTGTTTGAGACAGTAGAGATCCTGAATTAGTTCCCCAGTTCACTTTTCTCTAACAGGGATGTGCTGAATGGGACTCCCAGAAACCTTTTGGTAAATCTCCGGCACAACCAAATTTAAATGAAGACTTTCTTGTTTCTGATGGAGTCTTGGGGGCTGCTAAACTATCCCTGTCAGATGACTTATCTCTGGGAGTCATAAAAATACTTCTGAAGAACCCTTTAAAAATAAACAAAAGGAAAAAACCCTAGAACTTTAGAATGAGCAGATTGCACCAAATGTATATTGTGTTTGTATCTGTCTCTTGAAGGAGGAAATGCCTCTGCTGAATCTTCATCCCATGTCCCTTCAATGGGTACAAGCCTGGGTTGGACTGTCAATATGCTCAATATATCTTTCAGGAATAAAATATAAACATTTCCAGCAAAAATCACGGAATAAATTTGTTTATCTAGCAACATTACAGCTTTTCCTAGTTAAAGTGATGAGAGAGCGTGTTTTTGTTTAGCTGGGAAAACAAATGAACTGCTACCATGGAACAAATGACAAACATTTTTGATATGGAACTCTTTCTTAGACTTTCAGTTACTACCTAAAATAATAGCCTACAGTATGGACTTACCTTCTTTTCCTGAGATGTTCAGAAGGGATTGACTTATCCCTAATTTTTTCCAAACCAGGTACAGAGAAGTGGCTACATGCCTTCCACTTACCACCCTCTTTACATGGCGACCTCATATCTCACTTTCTCAATTGCCTGTTGAAGAGTATGATTCTTAAATCATGGCTTTTCAGTTTTTCAAGTTAGTCTCATAAAAGGGTGTGTATCCAAAGAACTGCCTGGCTGGTTGGGGTGGGTGGTTGTTGTGGAGTTTGTTACTTGGAATGGAAGAATATGATTTTTAGTTTGTCCTTCTGTGGAGGTGGTGGTGTCTTGGCAATAGTCTTACTAGGGGAAATAATAGCAGGTCATTTAGATTTTAGTTTCTTTTGATAAGCAAATAATTGCTAATATCTTTGGAGGGGAGAAAACCACTGTTGGTTGCTTAGATACCAAAAAAAGTATTCTTTGGGAAGCACCTGCATTTCAGTAGCATGACACAAAGGAACTGAAGGTAAGGCAGAAATCCCTCTGCTGAATCTCTGTTGTTTCAACATTGTTTTATGGATGAGTAGATTAAATTGTTAAATGTAGATTGACTCATACAACATAGTCTGGTTAAGATTTTAATTAAGAAAAACCTGACTTATAATGCTTTTTACTAAAGTATGGAAGCAATCATAAAGAAAATGATTATGGAGTAGATGCTGTTCATATAAATATCATTAATGTCTGCTGTAATTGGAAGCACTGATGCAGTGAATGCTCCTGTTAATGAGAAGGGAGTCAGACATTCCTCTGGTACTTACAAATTGTGATTGGATAGGTGTCTTTACATGAAAGGGTAAGTGAGATGGAAAAACAAGTTATTCAGACTTCATCTTGCATTTAACATTGGAATCACTGTGTATTAAGAAGAGCTCAAACATATCTCGGTAGTGCAGAGCAGCCTAGAATTAATTTATACATGTGTTTGTGTCTATGCACCTATATTTTTTCTTTACTTCATTGTAACTAGGACTTGATATATTTTTTTTGTTTTTGTCCTCCTCTCAGGGAAACTGTATCAATCTGACTGAAGCCTTGACCCTCTATGAAGAACAGCTCGGCAGGCTTTATTGCCCTGTGGAGTTCTCAAAGGAAACTGTATGTGTACCCTCATACATGGAATTGTATCCTTGACAAATATAAAAGGTTGAGCCTGTATGATTAATAAACCAAACAACCCCAGTTCGTCGGGTTGGAGTGAACTAAATAGTTCTTTTCTTTAAATGAACAAGACAACACTTTTAAATGCCCTAATCTAAATACGTTTTGTAATTACTAAACAGGAAGTGAACTACTGTAGTAGTGGTTGGGGGGAGGGAGGGAACGGCTTAAAAGCACAGCTCCCATTTGATGTCCCTATGAGAGGGGCCCGGCACCTTTCAAAGTTGGGCCACTTGTTCCTTAACTCTCCTATAAAGTTGTCAGTTGTGGGGTATACCTCCACAGGATAAACTCATAAACCTGTGGGAATGAAAAATCAAGAAGGCAGGGACTCAGCCAGGATTTTCAAGGCCCAGGGCAAGCTGCTCCTCCCTCCCCTCAAGTCTCATCCCTTCAACTTGTCTTTGTCTCTGTCCCTTCAGCTTGATGATTATTTCCCCTCCTTGGTCTAAATAGCCACTTCCTATGGAGAAACAGAGGAAGGAGGGTCAGGAAATGTTTCCTCTGAGCTTCTTGTATGTTTTTTTCCCCCTTCTTCCCCCATCAAGGGAAGAGGTTTGAGGCATGAAAAGGCTGCCCAAGTTTTCAGCTCCATAGAGGCATCTTCATGGGTGGCCTGCCCTGAAAGAGTTGCGCTTGCCTGGATTATTGCAGCTCCTCCTCTGTAATCTCCTCGAGTTTCTTTCTCCAGACTCTTGGTTGGTGTTGCCCACCTGTTCCTGTGTACTGAGGTCTGCTCTGTTTGGTTTTTAAAGAGTTGAGTGGTTTCGCCACAGTCTACCTCTCCATCTCTGTGTGTTTTCTCCCTGTACAGCTTCCTTTCTGTTCCTGTGCACTGTCTGGGTACGGTTGTTTCCAGAGCCTTCTGTTCTGAAGCCCTGCCCTCTGGAACGATCTTCCTGTTTCTTTTGACCTTGCCAACTATCCATCAATATTCAGATTGCAGCTTAAAGCATCTTTAAGACAAATAGAAAAGGCATAAATGCCATCTCTTTTGGCTTTACCCTTATGATTAACAGTGTTAATGTATTCAGTAGACAATATTTTTCACTGTTTATTCTATAGGCCATGCCTTGCTTAATTTAACTCTGTAAATGGTTTGGGTGCATTTTGTATTAAAGACGTTTAAGTGTTTGTTGTGTTGTTTGTGCAGTAGTATTGCAAAATGCTTCTACATGAACTATGGCAAGAAGTGCTACTGCATTCCTCTGGAGAGTATATTTAAATGTTTCTAGTGAAGTAATTGGCATGAAATGCCACTAAAGCTAATTCTACAAAAAGAACAGGAGTACTTGTGGCACCTTAGAGACTAACAAATTTATTAGAGCAGTCTGTACTGGGCTATCTTGATTATCACTTCAAAAGTTTTTTTTCACTTACTTAATTGGCCTCTCAGAGTTGGTAAGACAACTCCCACCTGTTCATGCTCTCTGTATGTGTGTATATATATCTCCTCAATATATGTTCCACTCTATATGCATCCGAAGAAGTGGGCTGTAGCCCACGAAAGCTTATGCTCTAATAAATTTGTTAGTCTCTAAGGTGCCACAAGTGCTCCTGTTCTTTTTGCGGATACAGACTAACACAGCTGCTACTCTGAAACCTAAAGCTAATTCTGTTAATTCTGGCTACTAAGTAGGCATAATCAGGCTTCAAAGTGAACAGCTCTTATAAAAGTCAAGTTTTCATTCATTCTGTCTGTCAACATGACAAGATAACACCATATATTCAGAAATGCTAATAAGGGCAGCAGGAGTCATGCTGCCTTCAGACTAGCCTCCAGCATGTTTGCAGGACATTACTTTTGTTTGTTTAACTTAGACTTCTGGTATGCATTAATGTTAATAGCATACATTTTATTTTAAAAAAAGGAAAACTAGATATTAAAACTAATAAGTATTCCAGATAAGTTGACATAAGAATGGGAGGGAAATTCCATCTGTACTCTGTTTAGATCACTGTCATCTGTTAGTGCTGCAGAGCAATGCACTCTACTCTCATCCTAAAATTTGCCCTAGTCTTCACCTTACCTCCCTCCTTCCCATGCCACAGGGGGGCAAGTAGATTTACACAGAAGTGGATCTAATCTTCCTCATACCCCATGAATATCAGAAAACGGGGAGCTCAAGCAGATCACTTCTCCTTGCCATTCAGGAGGTATGCTGCCTCTTCACATCTTCTGCACAGTGGAAGTGTGTTGGTTTTGCTGTATCTGGATCCCTCTGCACTCATGGAGAAGGGACTAGAATCTGCTCCCAGCAGAACGAAATGTTGTGCTAACTGCTTCCAGCCCAATGTACAACAAGAAGAGGGAAACATTATGGGGAATACCCAAGCTCAAAACCAAGAAAGTGTGATGGCAGTCAAAATAAGAAAGGGACAGAAATGACAGAAACTATAAGTAGAAGTCATGGCAGTTGTGGAACAAATCTTTTCATATAAATACAGGAAAAATCCATGACGCTAAATTAAAAACATGAGTGTGAGGCAAAAAGGTACTTCACAAAAATGGCATCTAGCCCTAAGTGTCAAAGGGGTCCTACTTCCTGGGATCAAGAAGGAATGGTGGGGATATTACCCATCCTATCTTTCTGAGCTATAATAAATGGGTTATTTGGAGATTTATTTCACTTTAGTTCTAAAAGTGCTTCTTTGACAATATACTACACAGTTTGCTTTGTTCCTTGACTTTTTTTTCTTCAGATGGGTGTTCTACGCTATTTGGAAGACAAGAACTGAAGTGTGAAGATCAAGATATTCTAATTGTGTGCTGCATGGAGCATATAGGCTTGCCGCGTGCTGCATATTGGCATCTTGAACCTTTAAATTATATGCTGTAGATGATCCTGAAACTTAGTCATGCTATTGATTGTGAATTCTTTAAATGTTTTTTATTATTATTTTAATTTAAAAGCAAATGGAAAATGTATATTTTGATGAGGTAGGGTGTTATTTTTGAAAGTCAACTTAAAGATGAATTAGCAGCAAAACTATAGCTGCTGAATGCACTGAACCTTTAGAATGTGATTCTTTTTATTTTTTTGTAGATCTTCACAAACTGATTAAAAAAAGACATCTTTAGCATTTCATTCCTGAGGGTGGTCCATGTATTTTTTTCTCCAGATATTAACTCCCTTATAGATTATGGTGCTTTTAAAGGATGGCGGGTTTCTCTTAAGTGAATACCACAGTGCTTCCATTACAGAAAATGTAAAGGGCATACCATTTTTAAAGAATACCCTATGCCCTTAGTTATAAAGGGAAGGAGCTAATTTGAGGTTTCATTTGTTTACGCCTTAGTTTCATTCATCATGCTACTGTAGTCTCTTCAGCAGACAAAGCTCTGACGTGTCACCATTTAGAATTACGTAGCCCTGTCACATTTATTAGTTTGATGTTAATATGGATTAAGAGTAGGTTATAGAGGCATTTTCAGCACCATAACTTTGAAAATTAAAGCCTATTTTCATTCCCACCAGAATGTGGGATGTTGAAATGTGTAATGAGGCTTCTAGTAGGCAGACACTCCTTACTTAGCTTTATGGAAGAACATTATGTCCATAGAGAATGAAAGTCGCGTAAAAAGGGAAGATGAGAGAAAGTGATTTAGGTCCTTGTGCATTCATATTTTGTGTGTGTTTAGATGTATTCACTTCACTAGGTTAAACTCTGATCATATGGATTCAGGTGTCCACAGTGACACTAATTCAGGATTAGGCCCAGACATAGTATTCACTGGTAAGTCAAAATTCCAATGGAAGGAAGATTGCATTATTTTTTGTGGGATTTTTTAAAGAAAAAAATTTCTGCCCTTCAATATTTCTGCACATTATCTGAAATTATATTTTTGTAAAAGCTTGCTATTTACCGATTGCCAACTTTATTGTAAGCAGAACATTAAAAAGATTCCATCTCAGAGGAGGTAAGAAGTCTAACCCTTTGGTATGTCTGAGAGAATAAAAAAATTCACTGTCCCTCCCTGAGTATCCAACATCGTGGACCAAAATGAGACTATCTTTAAACACCAGGTTTCCTATGTATTGTAGTTTGAGGCAAAGAGGTTTCCCTCCCCTACCCTCCTCTCCCCCCCCATTAATAATGAATTCAGATTGTCAAAAAACTAATTTCCAATTATTACACTCTGAAGAAACAGTACAACTGATGTGTTCTATCATATGTGTCAAAACTACTAATGAATGTAAGTAGCCTCTGAAGAAATCCAAAATGATATTAGTTAGAACCCTTGCAAAAAATCTCCTTTGCTCTTCACTTGGTGTATATTTTTGTATGTATGGTTATGCTATTAGAGAGACCACTTTAACTTCGGAAGCTAAGTGAAGTTCTTTGTATTCCCTGTTTTAATTTACCGCTTTAAGTGATTGCAAGCAGCATTACTTATTTCATACACCTGGGGCCAAATCACTCCTTGATTTACAGCCTGTGCAGTCCTATCAACTCTTCAAGAATAGTCTCCTTGTAGGAAAGTGGAAAGAGCCTTCTCCTGGTCCCTAGGCATTCGTGGCAGTGTCACATCCAGAGCACAGAACATCGTAGTGATCATACTGCTAGACCCTGAACAGTTGTAATTGTGCATTTGTGGCTGAAGGTTGAAGTCAGTGGGATTATATATGGGGTGAAAACTAAGGCCCTGATCCTGCCAAAACACATGTGCTTAACTTCACATGCATGAGTAGTACCGTTGCCTTGGTTGTGATGACTCATGTATGTAATGTTAAGTGTGCATGCATGGATGCATGCAGGATTGAGGCTTAAGATAGCCCATGTCTTGATCTTTGGAGTGATTCTACCACACCCACCCCTCCCCCAAGCTTGTGGATTAGAACATGATCTAATACACTTGATAGGTTTGTAGCGCCAAGACTATTGCTTTGTTTTGCATAGATACATGGAATTAGAGCTGTTTGAAAGTGGAAAGATGCTGTGAAATCAGTCCCTGGAATGTTCAGTGGGGGAGAGGAGTCCTAAATTGGTGGGTGATGGGGAGGTGAGAGGAAACATTGTTTTGAAAGCTGATCAGTACATATGACAATTTTTCCTCTTATATTGATATTGTGAAAAGAGGGTGGGGAGTGTAACTATTTTGTTTTGGAATGTTTTTATGCAGACTTTCTTAAAGTTATAGATGTAGTAGAAAACAGACTGGCAAACACTGAACACTGCTGTTTTTCTCTTTACATTACTACCTTGTTTAAAGCACTGTCGTTCATTATTTATTTGTTATTTCTGTAGTGTAAACTTGAAACAAAATCAGCTTCATGTGAATGTCAGATGAAACTTGCTATAGTTGAACAACACCTTACATTTAAAGCCAGTTGGGACATAGTTACGAGTGCCTCACTACACATGGAAACAGAGACTGAAAAAATGGTTTTTATTCTTTGCACTAAATGCTGCTTCCACCAAGAAATGTGATTAAATATTTAAAAACTTGATTGGTAGTAATTTGACTGTGCTGAAAGAAGACTGCTGGCATTGTTTCTACTGCACAAGTGCAGTGCACATGTTAAAATAAAGGTACACTCTTATTATCTGTATGACTGAATTGTTAAATTCACTTGTGGATTCCCGTATTCAGTATTAAAGACCATGCAATGGTCTAATGTGGTGACCATCAATGTGTCTCCATTCTTTTCCAATCCCCACCCAATATATATGCACAATATTGTTGAGTTTTGTGTCCTTTTATTGAGACATTAAAGGAGTTTTTCCTGCCTCTCATGATCAGTAATTTAAGTTTTTTTGTTTTTTTTTACCATCACGCAAGAATGTGCTACGAACTTTATTGTGACCTATAAAAGAAGAGGTCCCTGCCATGAACAGCGTACAGTAAAATTTCCGGCCTGCACTGTGATGGGGAAACAAAACAACAGGACTGTGGGAGGACATGGGTTCCAACAATATAATCGTATGGTTACTTGGTATTGACAATGACAAGTGCAAAACTGCATTTATTTATACATATGTAATGCTAACTCGTAGGAGAAATTGTAGAAGTGAGTATTCAGAAGGGATTTAAATGGAAGTTGATGGTTTGTATGCATGCTGGGTTGGCAAAATGGCTTTAGAAGGACATTCCATACATGGGGAAGTATAGAGAAAGATGCTGAGGAAGGGACATCAGAAGGAAAAGAGTCATCAAGAATAGCATAGTTTGTGACACAGCGTAGGAGATAAGGGTAGAGTTAGTATAGAGGGCCTTCTGAAAGAGAACAAGTTTGAACCTGCTAACAGGACAATGAGCTAACAACAGGTTTTAAAGAGGGGATTCCTCTGGTCAGTGCTGGAAGAAGGTGACTTTAGAGGCATAATGCTGGATGGATTTTGGTGAGTGGGATCAAGATAATTGGAGAAAAGGAAGTTGTAGATGTCCTGGTGGGTGATTATGACATTGGTGCAGAAAAGAAGAGAGCAGGTTCTAGATACTTTGGGGAAGATGGCAAGATCTGTTTGCAACTGTGTATGGCGAGAGGAATTGAAGGTCATTCTAGGTTGCAGACTTTGGCAATGGAGAAACCACTTGTGTTGACAATAATGGAGAATGGTGGAGAAGATACAAGAGAACATAAGAATGGCCGTAGTGGGTCAGACCAAAGGTCCATCCAGCCCAGTGGCCAATGCCAGGTGCCCCAGAGGGAGTGAACCTAACAGGTAATGATCAAGTGATACATCACTCATGATTTTATATACCTCTATCATATCCCCCCTTAGTCTCCTCTTTTCCAAGCTGAAAAGTCCTAGCCTCTTTAATTGCTCCTCATATGGGACCCGTTCCAAACCCCTAATCATTTTAGTTGCCCTTCTCTGAACCTTTTCTAATGCCAGTATAAGAGGAAGAAAAAGCACCTCAGTTTTGTCTATGTTGAGCTTCAGTTGTTGACAAACTTCCTTGCATGCAATATCCGAGGGGGTGGGGAATCAGATGAGCAGAAGATTTGATTTCTCAGTGTAGATAATAGCCTAGGTAATGGGGAACTGTGATATTGGATGAGGTTGCCCAAAAATAACAAGTGGCAGCACCACAATCTCCCATGGAGAAGGGCAATGGAGAGGAGGATTAGCCACCAAAGGAGAGGCTGAAAAAGCAGTTGGAGAGAAAGAAACCCAGGAGATGAGGATGTGTGTGAGAGAGAGAGAGAGTAATTAATACTGTCAGTGGAAAGGTTAGGAAAATGAGGTTCTTAGTGGCCTTTGTGACAATATCTTCTGTGGAATGGAAAAAGTGGAAGCTGGGTTAGATCAGGAGTGAGCGTTAGGTAAGGAAGTTGAGGTAGTGATTGTAAACAGCATGTTCAATGAGCTTTACAGGTGCAGGGAAGAATGGGGAAATAGGATTGTTGGCTAGAGTCGATAGTGTTTAAAAATTGGGAGTGGAGGGAGGGGTCATAGGGTCAAGGGTTGGGAGAAACTGGGCGGGAATTGGGGTAAATGAAACAGCCGGAGTGATTAGAAAGGGAGAGAAAGCAAGAGGAAAAACCATGACATTACATTAGGAACATGAATGAGGCAAAACAATGTTGGTCCACAGAAATAGTGTGCAGCACTAAGTGTCTGTCTGAGAATTGGAGTGGGTGGTGTACTGGCGAGAGGAGTAAAGGACTCCTCATTGGCGAGCGAATTTGAGGGAGTCAGCTGTGAAGTAATGTTCTGAGAGTGGATTAGTAAGGGATGATAATGGAGTTGATATCCTGGTAAAGATGGACTGGTGATCAAGAGGGGAGTAGGCAGTGCTAAAGGAGATGAGATGGTCAAAGGGAGAACTCTATTAAGAGATTAGAATGAGCATTCCTTAGTGGAGATAATAGCCTTGTTTGGTGCATTGGTGAGTTAAGTTAACTAAGGTCAAATGAAGATGTAGGAAGTGAAGTGTCTGGCTGGTTTATCAGAATGAAAGTTGAAGGGTGGGAGTCTAACTGGAGAGGAAGAGAGCTTGTTTTGGGAATCAGAGAGAAGGGCCATGGAGTAGATCTTGTGGGTGGGTTGGTTGACAGCAACATGGAGGGTAAGAGCAGAGTTTAATGTTATGCAGCACAAAGGTGTGGGAAGAGGGAAGTTCTTGAAATGGCAATAT